CACAATGTCCGGTTGGCGAACCAACCGGACATTGTGGTGGTGGATAAAGAACAGAGGAAAGCCGTTGTGGTGGATGTAGCAATACCAAGTGACCACAACATCAGGAAAAAGGAGAAACTGGAGAAATACCAGGGCCTCAGAGAGGAACTGGAGAAGGCCTGGAAGGTGAAGACCACAGTGGTGCCTGTGGTCATCGGGGCCCTCGGGGCAGTCACCCCCAAACTGGAGCAGTGGCTACAACAGATCCCAGGAACAACATCAGACATCTCAGTCCAGAAATGTGCAGTTCTAGGCACAGCCAAGATACTGGAGGAGAACCTGAAGCTCCCAGGCCTCTGGTAGAGGACCCGAGCTCAGAGGATGAAAGAGACCACCCACGGAGGGTGAGAGGGGAAGAATTTTATATATATATATATATATATATATATATATATATATATATATATAGACAGACAGGGGCGTAGGAACGAGTCTGTCATTGGGGGAGACGCATGTCGGAAACCTGACAGATCAGTAAAAGGCTTGAGCAGAAATCTCAAACTATTGGGCCGTCAACACATCAGTAACGCGTTACTCTAATCTGACCCTTGTTTCAGTAACAAGTATTCTAACATGTTACTATTTACAATCCAATAATCAGATTAAAGTTATGCATAGTACAATGACCGTCATTCCAGGATGAACACTCACTTTAGCATTTGCCTCACAACTAGCAAGCTAAATACTCTGGTAGCTCAGACTGACTACCAGAGTATTTAGCTTGATGTGAATATTTAAGTGAACTTATGATTGTAAAGTAGACTTAGCTTGTAAATACAATACTTTGTCACCAAATATATCTACTCAAGTTCATGTAAATACACCACTTGTTTGGTGACTGTGTGTCTGTGTGATGAAGTTTAACTTATATAATCATATTCCTCTTCCGTTAAGTAATTTATAACAGAAATAATCCTCCCATTTCCTGTATCACTTGTAAAAATGAAAATAATACATACACAAATATATACATCTACCTGCACATATAGATAATATAAACCTATTTACACACACATACACAGACCTACATCTAATTGCCCAAGTCATCCTCAGCGCTTTAATTCCCAGCTAAATTCATCATCCCTGTTCATCCCTGAACCTTTGAATAATAACCATCTTCAGGCTTTTCTTAAAACACCTCATGCTTGGACTTTGCTTCAACTCTTTAGTGAGTTTATTCCAAATATTCACACCAATAACCGAGATACTCATTATTTTCTTGTCATCGTTGTTCAAACATTTAAAGTTTGAGGTTTTCTCTATAGTCATATCCCCCCACTCTATAAGTAAACCATTTTTGAATATTTTCTGGTAATCGTTTGTTTCTACCTTTGTACATAAACTGTGCAGTTTGAAACTCTACCAAATCTGGGCGTTTCAGGAGGAAAGAATCTATAAACCAGAAAGTGTGCATTTCCTGCAAAAGTCCAAGTGTGAATGCTGAATGCTTTTGGTGGAAACGGCAAAGCTTTTGAAGCTGAGATGCTAAATGCTAATGCTAGCATCCTGGCTGCTACTGGCATGTTGAATCACAGTAACATAATCCATGCAATGTGGAAAACCCAGGTAAAAACTAAAATTAGATAAAAAGCTAACAGTGTTAATATGAAGTGACTCACCTGTCCTTTCTGTCTCCAGGGTGTTTGGACAAAAACAGACATTATTTATAGGTTCTGTTAGAGGCCACTGAAACCGTTTATGGGTTTTTATGGTGTTTCATTATGGTGTAACGATAAAACATAAAATGTTTATAAAAAGTGGGAATGTTGGTATTTAGGTATTTTCTTTAAATAGGTGAATTTTGTAATTTTGCTGGGACTATTTAAAGTTTCACCTGTGAAATTGTTCTTGATGCTGAGAGAAGAACAAACTCCTGATGTTTCTGTTTTATCCTGCCTCCACTTTTCATCCTCACTGTAAATCCAGCCTCTAAAGAAGCTTTGTCACATGTTGTAATTACAAAAAATGTTTTTATTGTTATTTGTATTATTCTTTACCTGAATGAAACACATTTAAAAACTGTCATTGTTTCAACTGTGTTACTTTAAGATTCTTTCTTTTTATTTCTTCTTCTGTGGTTTTGTCTTTAAATCGTTTGCACCTTTAAACTCCCCTTTGTCATGTTGTCCTGTTATTTTTTGTCTACATACATCCAGTTTATTTATAGATTTATTAAGTTGTTTTATCATCACTATAGTAATAAATAAATCTATTCCATAATGTGAATAATTAAGTGAACTTATGATTGTAAAGCAGATTAAACTTCAGTTTTGCTATGTATTTTTACGCAGGTCTTGGAGCGGGGAGCTGATAACATGTTTTCTATTTGTTGTTGTCAGAAATAAACTGAAAACCAGCAACTCCAGAGGAATCCCATGTCACAGCCTGAGTTTTAAATAAAACCAGGCCAATCCAGAAAGGGTTACACTTGCATTGACTGTTTGCCAATTAATAACTTTTATGAAACTGGCTTCATTTCTCTGTGTAGGCATATTGTTAGATGTAATTTACCCGTCATCAGTTGGTCTCTGCGAGTGTCGTACAGCATGCCTAAGGCGAAAGGCCGACCCAAAGCCGCCACCTGCATTTCATCTGAGGACATGTTTTCAGCCTGAGGCAGCAGAGAGACAGGAAATAACATTAAGATGAATTACATAGAAATATCTGGTAGAAAGAAAAGAACATTAATAACATATCAATACTGCATCACTGAGAGCCTCTGAGGAAATGATCTGATTACCTGATGAAGGTTGATGGATCAGTTAAAATCTTTCTGACTGCTGTGACTTTCTGACTCCTCGTCTCCTTTTATCCTCATAACTCCTCCCACCGAACCAGCAGGAACTCCTTCTATGGGAAACACCTGAAGGATCATGGCTTATTGGTGGACCCTTACTTTGAAGGATTCACCTTCAAAATAAAACAGCAGCTTATCAGCTGTTGTCTTTAGCAGCAGATAAGCTGCTAATGAATGTATTAGTAATCAATGTGCGGAGTAATACATTCATTAAAGTTGCCTTTATAAATATGCCTTAGGGAGGAACCATTTTTAGTCTAAAAAGACTAACAGACACTGAGAAAACAACAGCACATGTTTAAACGTTGTTGTTGCTCAACACCTTCTCTCTTCCTCCCCCTCTGAGAGGAGATGTGCTGCCAGCTCTCCGTCTAACACTGAGTTTCCTAAATCTGCTGGGATTTACCTGTCCAGACCTGTTACAGCTGCTGTCGAGAATCCATCCAATGTTCCTCTTCACCTTTAGCCAGACTGAGCAGCCTGCAGCTCCACACCTGGTAACGGTCGCTCCTTCTCTTCATTACAATTCACACTTGTTACTGAACCAAGTTGGTTCTAGTTTTGGCTAAAAGCAACCTATAAAACATTTTCCACTTTCTCCTCCCA